TCGGCATCATCCTCATTCAAACATCATCATCGCCACCACTCATCTTCACCACCACTCATCATCCTCATCCTCATCATCGTTGAGTAAATTGTGAGGAAGTCTCAGGCGGGAGCCCCCTCCCTATGGGGCCCGCAGATCACGTTGGTAATCCGAGCGGGTCATCGGAATCCTGTAACTGTCGTCACTTTTGAGCTCCCCAGGCCTGAAAATGGAGGAAGTCTCAGGCGGGAGCCTCGTCTGTGAGTGAATTGGGAGGAAGTCTCAGGCGGGAGTTCCCTCCCTATGGGGCCCGCAGATCACGTTGGTAATCCGAGCGGGTCATCGGGATCCTGTAACTGTCGTCACTTTGGGCTCCTCAAGCCTGAATTTGGAGGAAGTCTCAGGCGGGAGCCTCGTCTGTGAGTGAATTGGGAGGAAGTCTCAGGCGGGAGCTCCCTCCCTATGGGGCCCGCAGATCATGTTGGTAATCCGAGCGGGTCATCGGGATCGTGTAATTGTCGTCACTTTTGGGCCTTTCAAGCCTGAGTTTGGAGGAAGTCTCAGGCGGGAGCCTCGTCTGTGAGTGAATTCTGAGGAAGGTTCAGGCGGGAGCCCCCTCCCTATGGGGCCCGCAGATCACGTTGGTAATCCGAGCGGGCAATCGGAACCTTGTAATTGTCGTCACTTTTGGGCTCGTCAAGCCTGAATTTGGAGGAAGTCTCAGGCGGGAGCCTCGTCTCTGAGTGAATTGTGAGGAAGTCTCAGGCGGGAGCTCCCTCCCTATGGGGCCCGCAGATCATGTTGGTAATCCGAGCGGGTCATCGGAACCCTGTAACTGTCGTCACTTTTGGGCTCCTCAAGCCTGAATATGGAGGAAGTCTCAGGCGGGAGCCTCGTCTGTGAGTGAACTGGGAGGAAGTCTCAGGCGGGAGATCGAGGCGCGGGCGCGGAGCTTGCTGATGTTCAGGCCCAGCGAAAGGGAGTTCACATGGCAGAGCTCGGGGGCGCACAGCGTGCGCCGCTCGGGGTTCACCCTGACGCACGCGTCCTACCTGACCTCCACGCTGTCGCAGGGCCAGACGCTGCGCAAGGGCGTCACCATCGACTGCGCGAGAGACGAGGACGCTGGCCGCACGGGCATGTCGGACGAGCAGTGGTGGCTGCACCTCTACGTCATGTTCTCCCGCGCCACGTGCATGCGGAACATGCTGATCCTGCGGCCGCCGCCGCGAGAGTTCCTGGAGTGCGGGCCGCCGGCGTCCCTGCGGAAGGCGCTCCTGGAGTTCGACAAGAGAGCGGTTTTGTCCAGGGCGGAGGCGAAGCAGCTCGCGGCAGAGCTGGGCTTCGTGCTGCCTTCCGCCTGAGCGCGGCTGCGCCTCGCTCGAAGCCCGCGGGGTTGTCCCAACGGCTTGGTCTTGCGCGCCAACGGCTCGCGGGGTTGTCCCGACAGCCTGGCCCGCGGGGTTGTCCCAACGGCTGCGCGACGTGACCAGTAGAGAACGCGCCTGTGCTGGCCGTGGCGGCGACGGCGCCGAGGAACATCGACATGCGCGCTCATGCAACAGGAAGGGGAGGAGGTGGCGGGGCGCGGAACAAACAGGGGGGCGAGGATGGGGACAACGTAAGGAGTGGAAGGGGGGCCCGCGCCAAGGCGAGAGGAAATATACGCAGAAGAGACAGCCAGGACGCCTCACCAACCACGAGGACGACGGTGATGGCTTTTTCCAGATTCGCCCAGAGGATTCTTATGTGGGGTTCTTCCGTCGGAGTAATTCCTTCGGTTTTTGAGAGATTTGGGAGCTTCCACCTTTTCGGCTTCCCGACGCCCCAAGACGGCCCAAGAGGCCCCCAAGATCGCCCCAAGAGGGCCCAAGAGGCCCCCAAGAGGGCCCCAAGATGGCCCAAGAGGGCTCGAAGACGGCCCAAGAAGCCTCCAAGACGGTCCAAGAGGGCCCCAAGAACGCCCCCAAAGGGGCCCCAGAGAGGGAACACGAAACAAAATTTCGAGCCCTCGGCCCTAAGAAGCCCCTACGAGGCCCCAAGAGGCCCCTAAGAGGCCCCAAGAGGCCCCCACGAGGCCCTCAGGAGGCCCCCAAGAGTCCCCCAAGCGGCCCCAGGAGGCCCCCCAAATGCCCCCCCGAGCGCCCCAGGAGTCCCCCAAGCGGCCCCAGGAACCCCCAAAGCGCCGCATTGACACCAGGCCCTCGGGCAAACGGCAGACATGAGACTGTATGGGCCGGCGGAATGAGCGAAGCGATTAAATAACCAGTAAGTCCCGAGCAAGAACGCGATACCTCTCGCTCACACACACACACACACACACACACACACACACACACACGCACACACACACACACACCATGAGGAACTAGTAAGCGGGAGCTGTTGTTGCTATAAACCGAGGGGGCCAGGAAAACAGTTAGAGCCTCACGAATTCCCCTTGTAAAAACAGGGTGCGAGCCCCTGGGGAGGCACTTAAGTGGACAAAAACGCCAGGGGCACCAGGGCGGAGAGAGCAACAATAACTATTCTTTAGAAATGGGAACTCAGCATTCAACCACCATTTAACCCTCATGCACCATGCTTCAACATGCCACATGCACCCATCATGATGCCACCTCCTCTTGGGGGAACTGAATGAAAAGAGGGGCGATCTTCCCACACCCAGATATCCCGCCCTAGGAAGTCGAGTCAACACCTCTCCCGAGGCATTTTCCCACGCAGTGCGACTATGGGGAGAGGTGAGGATTCAGAACAACAAGGCTTCGAGCCCCAGGAGAAGGGCAATCCATAGGAACAGACGCGAAACACTCAAGATTCGAGACCCAGTCGAAGGGAATGCATGAGAACATACGTACAACATAAAGGAGTCGAGCTCCAGTCGAGGAATACTCTATAGGAGCAAACGTAAAACACAATGGATTCGCGCCACAGGGGAGGAGCAACCTATAGTAACATACGTAAGAAGCACAAAGGATCCAAGCCACAGGTGAGGGGCTGCCAAGCCAACAGGGGCGAACCCGATGGAGGCGAAGCCTACGAGGGGCCGAAAAGCACTCCCCGAACACATATCCCGAGTGCAACATAGATAGCACAACATGCATTGCACAACATAGAATGCTAGAAACACACTGGTTGGGGTCCACGCTGGCTAACAGTGTTGAATAACTTCAACAACAAGCAGTTTAAGACTGATCGTTCTTATCTGCTCGCGTGTCAGTCAACATGTGTATCCCAAAACGCTTGAGCGTGTGCCTCAAATTCAAAGAAAAGCGCATATAAGGGATCATGACTACTTACTGGTTAACCGTTCATATTCAACGACCATTGTACCCTCCTGCGACTTGCTTCTACACGCCACATCCATCCGTCATGATGCCGCTTCCTCGTGGGAAAAACTATACGAAGAGGGGGCGATGTTCCCACACCCAGATAGAAGACGCTCCCCGAACACATGACCCTAGAGCGTTCTACGGCCTTCTGGGGCCTCCACAACTTGCGGCAAGACTGCTCTGACGGATTCCCCTGCGCTGCTGAACTGGCACAAAATTTCAGGCGAAACGGCCGCTCCGGCATCCGCGAGCAGCAGCAAGAATGCTCTCTGGCCAGGGCCTCTCCCAGGAAACTGTGAAGTACCGCTCAGGGAGCGCTGTTGTTCTTGGGGGGGCGGCCTTGGGCGCACCCCCGCAACGCTTCCGCGTGAGCCTCAATTTCAAAGGAATTGCAGCCAGAGCCGAGGCGAGGGCGCCACAGCGCAGATAGGGGGATCCAACAATAGCAACTGTTGGCCCAACAACAACAACAACAACAACAACAACAACAACAACAACTGTTGTATACTTCGTATCCAATAACAACAGCAGCAATGAACGCCCCCAGCTTTGCAACATCAACCGAGGACCCGTCCCCACAGCAAGAGGAAACCACGAGTGAACCCGACCCTGCAGGTCACAAGCGAAAAGCGGAGGGGTGTCGGACTTCAAGGGACGTCCGCAGCTAAGTCGGGGGCATCCGCTACCCCAGCGCCGAGTGGACCAGCAGGCTGCAGAAGGGGCAGAGTTCGCGCGTGGTCGCAGAAGACCATGGCTGTCCGAAGGCTGGCCCTCCTCGCGGATCGATCGGATCGCTTGCGCAACCGCACCAGTGGAATCGAACCCCGTCCACGGAGGAGGGTGGCTGCCTCTGGGGGCGCGTTGTCGAATCGATCGATGCCACGCGCAGGCGCCGGCACGCATCATCGAACACGGCCCTGTCCTCGAGGTGCCCCCGCACCTCTGAGAAGCAGGGGGTCGCACCTCGAGCATACCCTCCAAAGGCAAAAGAGACAACTGGAATCCAGGCACACTGCCGACCTCGTGCTCATGGCACTGCTCTCCCAGACAAACACCATCAGCTCGCCTCGCGCCAACGTCTTGAGCGCACGGGCTCCCCTGGCCCGTCATTGGCAGCTCACAACTTCCAACCCTCTTGTCAACATGATCCCCCTCATACTCCTCACCCTCATAGTCACAATCGTCAGTGTAATACTTGCCACCGCCATCATGATCCTTACCATCATCACCATCATAATCAACATCGCCATCAGCACCATGTTCACCATCACCGTCGGATTCATCGGCATCATCATCGTCAGTAATAGAATCCTCCATGTCGTTGCCGCCATCAGCACCAGCATAACCACCAGTACCATCATTCATCTTCCTCACCAATCTCCTTCATACTCCCAAAGGCCACCATAATCGTCACAACCATCAGCACGATCACCATATCGTCAGGTTAACCTTTCTCGCCCTCCTCACCCAGTGCGTTGTTCGTTGCTGCTCGACATATTCTCCCTCATCCTCCTCACCTCGCTCATCCTCCAGCCCCCCGCCCTCTCCTCCTCCACCTGGAGGAGGGGGGAGACAACGACGACAACGACGACGACGACGACGACGACGACGACGACGACGGCGACGACGACGACGACGACGACGCCGACCACGACCACGACCACGACAACGACGACGTCCCCCCCCCGCCCTGTCGAAGGGCTGCGATGGGCCCATGGGGGGCCCCAGCGAGGGCCCGCCCCACGGCATCATGAACTCGGGGGCCTCCTGCCGCATCTGCGGCATCGCCGCCGCGTGGTGCGACATCGCCGCCGCGTGCTGCGGCATGGCGCCTGCGAGCGCGGCGGAGAGGAGGCCGAGGAGGAGAAGGAGGAGAGGGATCTGGCGGGCCAACCTCCAGAGAATCGAAGAATGGCTCAAGGAGGCAGCGAGGACGCACTGCCTACCCCCCGAGGCCATCCCGGGGCGCCGTGGCAACGCGATGAAACCAAGCTGGCGAGCTGAAACTGGCGGTGCCGCTCCAGCTCCCTTGCGAACCTGTGGCGGAGAAAGAGAAGGTGGAGAAGGAGGAGAAGGAGGAGAAGGAGGAGAAGGAGGAGAAGGAGGAGAAGGACGAGGAGGAGAAGGAGGAGAAGGCGGAAGCAGGAGGGGGAGAGGGAGGGACGAGAATGAGGAGATGGAGGTAGAGAGGGGGAAGGGAGGAAGACGCTTACATGATTCGAAAGGTTTGTTATGATCCCGACGGCTTTCGGAAGATTTGGAGGTTGTCTGGTGTTTGCCGGATGATGTCAGGAGAGAGAAGGGGAGGAGGAGGAGGAGGAGGAGGAGGAGGAGGAGGAGGACGACGAGGAGGAGGAGGAGGAGGAGCAGGAGCAGGAGCAGGAGCAGGAGGAAGAGGAGGGTGAAAAGAAGGACGAGCAGGAGCAGGAGCAGGAGCAGGAGCAGGAGCAGGAGCAGGAGCAGGAGCAGGAGGGAGGACGAGGAGCAGCAACAGCAATAGAGTGACAAGAGCTGCGCGGCCCGAGTGGAGACGCCTTCGCCCGCCACTCCGTTGGCCCAGCGTCGGACTCGCCGAGGAGAAGAAGGGAAAGGAACGAAGAGGGAAGGAAAAGTGGTGCGCTCGCGATCCTCCTCGATCCTGGACCCTCCTGGGTCCTCCCCGATTCTCCTGTGTCCTCCTCGATCCTCCTGTCTTTCATCGATCCTCCTCCTCCTCCTCCTCCTCCTCCTCCTCCTCCTCCTCCTCCTCCTCCTCCTCCTCCTCCTCCTCGATCCCCCTTCCTCGATCCCCCTCCTCGATCCTTCCTTGCTGCAGAGCCTCCTGCCGCGCACAGGAGGGGCTGCTCGGAGGAGCCACGGCCCGCCGCGCGCCTCCACATCCTCCCAATCCCAGTCCCATTCCCACTGTGCTCCCTACTCCCCGATTGATCCCTCCTCCTCCTCTCCTCCTCCTCCTCCTCCTCCTCCTCCTCCTCTCTCCTCCTCCTCCTCCATCATCATCATCATCATCAGCATCATCATCATCATCATCATCATCATCATCATCATCATCATCATCATCATCATCATCATCATCATCATCATCATCATCACCTCCCTCCTCCTCCTCTCCATCCCTCCCCCCGCCTCCCCCCTTCCCCCCTTCCCCCCTCCCTCCCCCACCGTGCCCCCTACTCCCCAAACCAGCTGTCGAGCCAGACCTCGATCCGTACTCGAATCGCATCTGCAGAACCAGGGGGCCAGGGGCGAGGCGAAGGATGGAGGAGCGGGCAAGGAGGGCAGGGGCGGAGGGGCAGGCAGGGAGGACAACTGGGAAGAGAAGGAGGAGGAGGGGGAAGACGTTGACAAGAACTCTGGCGACGACAACGACGACGACGACGACGACGACGACGACGACGACGACGACGACGACGACGACGACGACGACGACGACGACGACGACGACGACGACGACGACGGCGGCGGCGGCGGCGGCGGCGGCGGCGGCGGCGGAGCCGGCGGCGGCGCCGGCGGCGGCGGCGACGGCGGCAGCGGCGGGCCTCCAATTTGGCCGGCTCCCGCCAGCGCGGCGAGGCGCGGGCCGTGGGGTCGGCGGCGGCAAGCCGAGGAAGCATCTGGGAAAAGAGAGGAGGCTGGTACTCGAAGGGAGTGCCTGGGGATGCGGCAGGCGCCGAGGCAAGAGGGCCCTTCGGGACGGCCGAGGACGAGCGGCAGAAGACGATCCGAGTGGAGAAGAGCACGTAGAAGGCCAGGACGGAGACGCTCCGAATGGAAGAAGAACACGTTGAGACAGAAACGCCTGAAACCATCCCTGAACGCTCCCCAGTCCACAACGGCGGAGGCCTCAGCGCCCAACGGCGGCCCCACCGCTCAAAACACCGACGCTCTCGAGAAGCCGCAGGCCGGGGGCGGCGGGGCGGGGGGCCGGGGCGGAGAGGGCGCCGCTGCTGGCGCCGCCGCCGCCCCCGCCGATCACGCTGCCGCAGAAGGCGCAGAAGCGGTGCTCGCTGCTGCACTCGTTCCCGCAATTCTGGCACGTCACCATCCGCGGCCCCGGCGCCTCGTCGGCGGGCCCGCGCGAGTGGGAGGCAGGGCCCCCTGCTCGGGGACTGCCTGCTAAACCAAGACAGTGGCGCGCAGAAGAGAATTCCTGCTCCCTGCCTGCTGTCTCCGCCTGGCCCCTCTTCCGCCTGCCCGCCTGCCCCGCCGGCCCTGGCCCCCCGCCTGCGCATTCGTCGTCGCCTGCCTGCTTCTCCCCTCCTCGTCCCCTTCCGCCGGGCAGCACCGCCTGCCCGGGACCAGCGTGGCGACGTGTAGGGCTTCACCGTGCGTCCAAGGGGTCGAGACATGGTGCAGTCTTCCTTCTCTCCAAGCGGAAAACTCAAAGTCCTGCTTCGCAGGGTCCTGGCCTCGGGGCCCGGAGGGAGGAAGCCGGCCCGCAGGCCAGGCGAGGGCGAGCAGGGGCGAAGGGGAGGCGGCGGGGGGCAGCACGTTCATCGGGTTCCGGCGGAGGTCGAGGGCCGAGGCCGTGGAGTGGTGTGGGAGCTTGCGGAACTGGTGGAGGGGAGAAGGGCTCCAAAGGCTCCCTCGCCTCCTCCGCCCCCCCGAGGATCCCCTCATCCCCTCGCTGCCCTATCTGACCTCTCCCCTTCCCTCCGCGGGAACGGGGGCGCCAGAGTTGACGGCAGCTGCCAGGCCAGCGGCGAGCAGAGATGGTACAGTGCGGGGAAAGGGAGCGCGGAGGGCATGGAGAGAGGGCGGGGGGAGGGGCAGGGCGAGACGGGGGTAGGGACGCGGACGGGACAGGGGCACGCGTGGGACCGGGGCAGCCGTGCACGGGCGACGTCTTCGCGGCCAAGCGAGGGAGAGAGGGCCCCGTCGGGGTACGCACGCTGCCAGCGCTGTGCAACACGAGGGCGTCGAAAGCGAGCGGGAGGACAAGCTCAAACCGTTCCCGAACGTGTGCCGACAGCGCTCGAGCCGAGGGCCGAGCTATCCCGCGTCAGGTGCAGGCCAGGGCAAGCACTCAGAAAGAGAGGACGAGAAACGCATAGCCATGCCTCCTCCGCGGCGACGGCGAAGCATGGGACGGATCTCGGGTGGCGGGGCGCGTCAGCTCAGATTGCACTCGCCCGTGGGTCCATCGCGCTCGAATCAACGCTTGCCGTACTCTCCACGGTTAAGGGCAGGCCAATACGAGCCGTGCAGGGAAAGAAGCAAAAGGGGGAAGCTCTGCAGATGAGCACCAATCGGCGGCAGGTGGCCACGATTGAGTGCTCGTCCTTTACCCGATGTTCGCCCAACCCTGTGTTATGGACTAGATCGGGATGGAGAAGACCACGAAGGGCTGCACAGTGCCAGTGCATGGACGGGGAGACGGCCACGCCCGCACCGCAACTCTGAACAATGGCCTCAAGGGTACGCCAGAACCTAGGTGACCGAAGGAGGGAGGAGCACAACGACGATGACGACGAACGACGAGAAGGAAGGGTGAGAAAAGATGGAGACGAGTGGAGAAAGAAGAAAATAGAAGGAGAGAGAAAAGGGAGAGGAGCAAGAGAAGAGAGGACGAAGGAAGAGAGGATGTGGACGAGGAGGAGGAGGAGGAGGAGGAAGGAAGGAGGAGGAGAAGAAGGAGGAAAAGAGGGGGAACAGAGGAGGAACAGAGGAGGAACAGAGGAGAAGAGGGGCTCCTCCTTCCTCACAAGAATCCACCTTTCCTCGCAGCTCCATCCTCCCTCCTCCCATAAATGTCCTCCCCTCCTCCCTATCCCCCTCTCCCTCCTTTGCCGCCAAATTCGCAACGAAGAGAACCCAAACCTAGGATATGGAGATCGCGCAACGCCAACCGCCAGTCCGACTGGTGGTGCAGGGCAGTGGCGATCCTGAAGTCCTACAAGATGCTGCGCAAACACGACCATGGGGCCACATGACGCACGTGAACGCGTGCAGCTGGTACATAGATGGTGGCAGCCCTTTTCAAAACGGGGAATCGCTGGACGCCTGATGAAACGCCATCGTCACACCTTGCCACACATTGTACTACCCGCAAGAAGGGTGAATTTGAGATATCTGTTCTAATGGAGCACTCGCCTGAACGGCAAGCCCAAAGGGTGCTTGTATGTCATCAAGGGGGGCGCTTCCGAGAGTAAAACGAAAGGTATGGACTTATTCGGGGGGCTCTTGGGACGGGAGGGTGTATTGCAGCATCGTTGACGCAAATTGGATGTACTCTGGCCCTACTCCTCCTCATCCTCCCTGTTCTTCTTCCTCCTCGAAGGGAGAAGCCCTATAGAACGCTGGTCTGCCAGGGAAATGCTGCCCTGCAGCCATCGTGTCGCAAGGGGGCGCTCCGGAAGACAGCCGGAGTGACGCGCGGCCTGGGGCGACACGGCCATGCCCACGAACGGAGAGGGCGCCTCCTGAGCGGCGCTTCCGCCTCCTCCTCCTCCTCCTCGTCCTCCTCCTCGTCCTCCTCCTCCTTCTCCTCCCCCCCCCATCCTCCACTGACGTATCCCCTCTCCTCTTCGCCCTGTCCCCGCCCTCCTTCTACAATTCATGACAATCCTCCTCCTCATCCTCATCCTCATCCTCATCGTCATCTTCCTCTTCTTCTTCATCATCATCAGCAGGATCAGCATCAGCATCAGCATCAACATCAGCATCCTAAGAATCATCATCAGCAGCAT